CCTAAAATGCTGGGATTACAGGCATGAGTTACTGCACCCAGCCAACCTTACACATTTTAATGAAACCCTTTTCTTTTTTTTTTTTTTTTTTTTTTGCTTCTCCCTTACAATTACCAGAATCTGGAGGTTTGTTTATCAACATTGTGTGCATGGCCATGATATTAGGTCCAGTGAAGCACTCCACATATTTCAGAATCTAAGAAAACAAACAAACAAAAACAAACCTTGTGGGAAATCAGAAGTATTAGCAACTGGTACAAAGTACAGCAGCTATCCACGCAACAACCAAGACATCAATAGTTTAAGAACCAAGTGGTATTTCACAACTCTGCAAACAAAGCATCAATAACCCAGCCACTGGAAATCATTCTAAATCTATAACACGGAATTAAATGGGCTTTTTCTGAGCTAGCTGGGAATGAAATCATTTTTTTTTTCTACAAGAAAGATGGGAGCTTTGACGAGATATCAATACAGATTTCTTGTCAACCCAAGCCGCAGAGGGTTGCTCAGTGGGAGGGCAGCTTCCTCTTCCTCATTGGAGCCTCTGCATACGAAGAGTCCCATACAATTTGCAGCTGTCATGAGTAGCCCAGAAGAAAGCAGAACAGTGGCTTAGAGGACATTTGACAACAGGGACGCTTGGCACTTGACAACTCATTACTGAGATCTGGGAACTAGGAGGTGACGGGAAACGGGGAAGCAAGAGTGAACAAGCAAAGCAGGTCCCAGGTGTTAGATGAAACATGTTAAACCAGTAATGACATGGGTCAGAGCGGCCGAGGGACACTGCATTATGAAGAAAAGGCTAGCATGGGAACCCATGACAGGGAGAGCTGGTTTAGTCATTGGGCCTGGGAGCTGGGCTGCTGCTACCTTGTGCACAGAACCCAGCAACGGAGGGGGCAAAAGCAGAAAGGGCTCAACACTGAGGTCCGGTGCAGTAGTTCACACCTGTAATCCCAGCACTTTGGGCAGCTGAGGCGGGTGGATCCCTTGAGGTCATGAGTTCGAGACCAGCCTGGCCAACATGGTGAAACTGCATCACTACTAAAAATACAAAAATTCGCTGGGCATGGTGGCGCGTGTCTGTAATCACAGCTACTTGGGAAGCTGAGACAGGAGAATCACTTGAACGCGGGAGGCGGAGGTTGCAGTGAGTCAAGATCACGCCACTGCACTCCAGCTCCAGCCTGAGCGGCAAGAGTGAGACTCCATCTCAAAAAAAAAAAAAAAAAGCCCATGATATTCAAATTTTGATTCCACAAAAAAATGACTCCAAAAAATGAGCCACCTTCTACTGCTTCCTCACTATTTGATCTCTTGTGTATAAGGAATACTGGCAATTTGATTATGAAACCCTGGAAAGGTTATAAAAGCCTAGGAGTCAGGCACACACTTACTTTTTATAAAGCCTGGTAGTTTTCGGCATTCACCAAGGCTGGGATTTTCTAAACCCTGGTCATTCAAGAGCCATTTTCACAACTTCTGACATAACTTGGACTGTTATTTAGCCAATGATTTCCCTACCCTTAGTTAGCTCACTTCTTTTTTTTATTTTTTATTTTTATTTTTATTGTTTTGAGATGGAGTCTCGCTCTGTCGCCTAGGCTGAAGTGCAATGGTGTGATCTCGGCTCACTGCAACCTCCACCTCCTGGGTTTAAGCGATTCTCCTGCCTCAGCCTACCGAGTAGCTGGGATTACAGGCGTCCGCCACCACGCCCGGCTAATTTTTGTATTTTTAGTAGAGACGGGGTTTCACCATGTTGGTCAGGCTGGTCTCAAACTTCTGACCTTGTGATCTGCCCACCTTGGCATCCCAAAGTGCTGGGATTACAGGCATGAGCCACTGTGCCTGGCAGTTAGCTCACTTCTTATACTCAATCTTTTTTTTTTTTTCCTCTTTTTTTCCAATTCAGATAGTAGTCTCGCTATGTTGCCCAGACAGGTCTTGAACTCCTGACCTCAAGTGATTCTCCTGCTTCAGCCTCCCAAAGTGTCACTACAACTGGCCTTTTTATTTAATCTTGTCCTAATTGACAACATTCTTGAAATCATGAGTTTGGTAAACTGTTGAGTTTTTTCCAATACATTTAAAAATAAATATCTAACTATTAAAATAATTTATACCTCCTAAAATCATGGCATAGACCATCAGATACTGGTCCCACTCTTTAGAAATGTAGGAAATTGGCCAGGCTCAGTGGCTCATGCCTGTAATCCCAGCACTTTGGGAGGCCAAAGTGGATGGATCACGAGGTCAGAAGTTCGAGACCAGCATGAGCAACATGGTGAAACCCCGTCTCTACTAAAAATACAAAAATTAGCCAGGTGTGGTGGCAGGCACCTGTAAACTTAGCTGCTCGGGAGGCTGAGGCAGGAGAATCACTTGAACCTAGGAGGCAGAGGTTGCAGTGAGCCGAGATTACACAACTGCACTCCAGCGTGGGCAACAGAGTGAGACTCTGTCTCCAGGAAAGAAAAGAAAAGAAACCCACTGATTTTACTCAGTTCAACTCCTTTCCATATCCAGCTCTAAGAGCAGTTAATCCTGGGCTCAAGCGATCCACCTGCCTCAGCCTCCCAGAGTGCTCGGATTACAGGAGTGAGCCACTCCGCCGGGCCAAATCAGTGGGTTTTACAGGCGGGCATACATGCTGGCAATTAAGCAGAAGCAAAGCCAGGGTGGTCTCTGACCTCGGGGAGAGTGCAGTATCTGAAGAGCTCCTTATCTTCCTGGAAATCCTGGACCTTCGTGGTCATCTTCTCACTTGGAGTATATTCCGATTTCAAAATGGTCACATCTCTCATTACTACTAATCCGAATGGTTTCACCTCCTTTCTGCAGATTTTTTCAAACTCATTCCTAGAAAATTTAATTTGCAAATGATGTCGTCACCACTGGCTCTAAGCACCTGCCCTGCCCTCCTCTGTGGAAAGGGTTGCAGACTTGAGGGGTGGTTTCTCTGCACTAAGTCGGCCTCCAGCTTGAGGTCTGGATGGGAATGCCTCCCATTCCAATGAAAAGCAGGAAAAACTGTTAGCCTAGAATCCACTACCAGAATTAAATCATTCCCTAGTTTAGCATACCGGTAGGGAAGTCTTTTTATGATTTGGTTACATCGTAATAATAATAGCAAACACTTCTGTAACACTTACCATGTGCCCAGCTCTATTCAAAGTGCTTTCCATATATTTCACCTTATTTAGTCATAACAACACTAGGACATAAGTACTATTATTATCCCCATTTTACAGATGAGGAAACAGAGGCATGGGATGTGAAGTAAATTGCCCCAGGACACATAATATTAAGTGGTGGAGCTGAGACTGAAGCCCAGGCGTGGTGGCTCCCGACCTTAATCCCAGCAACTGAGGAGGGTGAGGCCAGGAGTTCAAGACCAGCCTGGGCAACATAGTGAGACTCCCTGTCTCTAAAAACAAAGAAATAAAAAATTAGCCGGGTATGGTGGTGCACACCTGTGGTCCCAGCTACTCAGGAGGCTGAGGCAGGAGGATCGCTTGAGCCCAGAAACTTGAGGCTGCAGTAAGCTATGATTGCACCACTGCACCCTAGCCTACACAACAGAGTGAGGCCCTTTCTCAACAACAACAAAAAAAGTCAGTCTGGCACCAGAGCCAGTGCTTCTAAACACTTCCCAACAAACCAACTCATTAAAAAACATCTGTAAAGGCAGGAGTGAATCCACCTTATATTCTCATTACATGCACACAATACATACTTTTGTAAAATAACAAATAGTGTTACTGTACCGAAAGCGTTGAATATCAGCATCAGGTACAAGATTTTTGATTACAAGAAACCCATTTTCTTCATAAAATTTTCTCTGTTCCAGGGTTAGAACATTATTATCCAGAGTATACCTAAAGGAGAAAAATAATCCTAAAATAAGTTAAATTTTTAAATTACCGGCTAGGCACAATGGCTCACACCAGTATTCCTAGCACTTTGGGAGGCCGAGGCAAGTGGATCACTTGAGGTCAGGAGTTTGAGACCAGCCCAGGCAACATGATGAAACCCCATCTCTACAAAAAAATACTGGTTGTGCCACTCCACTCCAGCTTGGGTGACAGAGTGAGACCCTGTCTCAAAAAAAAATTTTTTTTTTAATGACTTCCTAAAAATATGTATCAAGAACCTGAGGCTAGGCATGGGGGCTCACGCCTATAATCCCAACACTTTGGGAGGCCGAGGCAGGTGGATCGCCTAAGGTCAGGAGTTTGAGACCAGCCTGACCAACATAGTGAAAACCCATCTCTACTAAAAATACAAAGTTTAGCCAGTCATGGTGGTGGGCATCTGTAATCCCAGCTACTCGGGAGGCTGAGGCAGGAAAATTGCTTGAACTGGGAGGCGGAGGTTGCAGTGAGCTATGATCATGCCACTGCACTCCAGCCTGGGCGACAGAGCAAGACTCCGTCTCAGAAACAACAACAACAACAAAAAAAAAAAACAGAAAAAAAAAACAAGAATCTAAGAAACGTTCATGCTCTTCAATCCAGCATTTCTAAGACCAAGAAAATAATCTGAAAACTTAAGCTTTATGTT